AAAAAAAAAAAAAAAAGTTTCAAATTTGGGCGCCTTTCTGAGTTCCAGGTTTTGAGTAGGAGTTCTCAACTGGTAAACCTAAACGAATATTCCAAAATACGAAAAACTCTGAATTCGGAAGCACCTCTGGTCCCAAGCATTTCAGAGAAAGGAAACTTAACCTGTATTAATAGTTTGAATTTATTCTTGTGAGGCGAAGTAACGAGCTGAAGGCTCACAGTAAGCACCGGTAAGTGACAGCAGCGATCACTCCTACGGGAGGAATATCAGACCCCACTGCAAATAACAGCTGCCCCAGGAAAAGGAATGCCAAGTCCCGGCCCTGGCTGAGGTGTGATTGGCTGAGGGGTGCTGGCGGGGATGCTGAACGTTCAGGTTTGCGGGGTGTAGTATAGGGGTGTGGTGTGCAGTGATGTGCGATTTTTTAAAAATTCAACAACTATCAAACAACTGTGCGTGCAGCACTCCAAAGTCTAGTGTACCTACGTGCATAAACCTCTCGGTGTGCACCTTTGCCCCTTCGGCTCTGTTCCCGCTTTTATCCGAGGTACCCCACAAGGGGCGGCCCTGTGTCGGTGACTGCGAAAGCGGACAGGGACCTTGTGTGCCCCCGTGAACCTGGTCTGTGCGTGCTCTTCCCGCCAGAGCCTTCCATGGAGTTCGGGCTGCTCCCCGAGGCGGAGGCCCGCAGCCCCGCGCTGTCGCTGTCGGACGCCGGCACCCCGCACCCGCCACTCGCGGAGCACAGCTGCAAAGGCCCGGAGCACAGCGGTGAGCGCGCCCCCTCCCGGGGCGGGGGAGAGGGCAGCTCGGTCCCACAGGGGCGCGGACCCCGGGGGGCCGCCCGGCGGGAGCGGCGGCGCGGGGAGCGGTCCCTAAGCCCTGCCCTGGCCCGCAGACTCGGAAAAGGCCTCGGCCTCGCTGCCCGGAGGCTCCCCCGAAGACAGCGCGCTGAAGAAGAAGCAGCGACGGCAGCGCACGCACTTCACCAGCCAGCAGCTGCAGGAGCTGGAGGCGACCTTCCAGAGGAACCGCTACCCCGACATGAGCACGCGCGAGGAGATCGCCGTGTGGACCAACCTCACCGAGGCTCGCGTGCGGGTACTGCGCCGCGCCGCGCCGCGCCGCCGCTCCCAGGCCCCTCCCAGGCCCCTCCCAGGCCCCGCCCTCCCCTCCCAGGCCCCCCCACTCCAAGTCCCCCCTCCCCTCCCAGGCCCCGCCCCTCCCCTCCCAGGCCCCGCCCCCGGGGCCGTGCACCGCCCGCTCTGAGCGCCCGCCCTCGCCCGCAGGTGTGGTTCAAGAACCGGCGCGCCAAGTGGCGCAAGCGCGAGCGCAGCCAGCAGGCCGAGCTGTGCAAGGGCGGCTTCGCGGCGCCGCTCGGCGGGCTGGTGCCGCCCTACGAGGACGTGTACCCCGGCTACGCCTACGGCAACTGGCCGCCCAAGGCGCTCGCGCCGCCGCTCGCCGCCAAGACCTTCCCGTTCGCCTTCAACTCGGTCAACGTGGGGCCGCTGGCCTCGCAGCCCGTCTTCTCGCCGCCCAGCTCCATCGCCGCCTCCATGGTGCCCTCGGCCGCGCCCGCGCCAGGCGCCGTGCCC